TGTAGGTTCGCACGCCACAAAACGTTCATGTACCTGCTGTATGATGTGATCCAACTCCGAAAATCCTCGCTAGGGAACGCATTCCTCATTAAACGGCAGAACTGGCAGTCGGCAGTGGACGACATCGCCTCTCTAACAGTGACCCAACTCCAGAATGCAGCGAAGACCATCGAAAGCGGCCAGAAGATTGAGGATCCGGTCATCCGACGACTGCTGCGAAATATCGAGACTGTCGGGATGCAAGTCCCGGGATCCTTCGCCCAGAAACTAAGAATGCGTTCTGAAATTCGAGGACTGATTACACGGTACGGTATGCCAGCTTTCTGGATCACTATCAACCCCTCTGACCTACGTAATCCTTTGGTCCTGATCCTGGCTGGCGTAGAGTACTCTGGGAACAACTTGGCTGCGGCAAATGCCGCTATCCGTGAGGCCGCCGTTACCTCTAATCCGGTGGCAGTCGCTGAGTTTTTCCATCAAGTCTGTAAAGCCGTTCTGGACGGCCTTTTCGCTACTAATACTGACCGGATCGGTATCCTTGGCGATCTCTCGAACCATTTCGCTGTTGTCGAGACGAATGGTCGAGGCATGTTACATCTCCACGGATTAGCATGGGCGCGAGGAAACCTGGCTTTCACTACTTTGCGAGATCGGCTCCTCCAGGATAGCGACTTTGCGGCTCGCATGATTCGCTACTTAGAGTCAATCATTACCCAAGGCGTTGATGAGAGTATTTTGCAAGACCCTGAAGTGAACCTTCCCGGCATGCCACCGTCGGCCAAAGATTTTGAATCCGATGACGACTTCCATCTTCGACTATCGTATGACAGCAATTGTGTCGCTCGTAAAACACAAGTCCATTCGAAACACCATCTCGCCACATGCTTCAAGTACCGGCAAACAGGTCCCGGAAAGAATGCTTGTCGATTTGGCATGCCTCGAGATCTGGTCCCTGCCTCTAAGGTAGATGATTTTGGACTGATTCACCTCGCTCGAAACCATGCCTGGATAAACCCGTGGAACCCCGCCATTGCTAGTTGTGTTCGTTCTAATCAAGACATCTCCTGGATTCCGACAGTCTCGAAGTCTTTGTCGCTGATCTATTACATCACCAACTACGCCACGAAAGATGACGTCTCTCCCTGGCAGATGGTTGCCAAGGCGGCTTTGTTGAAGCAATCTATTGAGAATGCAAAGGTTGCTGAGCCACCAACAGCGACAGATCTCCGACTTCGAGAAAAAGGTGTCAATAATTTTGCACTACGCTGCTTTAATGCCCTCTCTCATGACCGAGAGATCAGTGGTGTACAGGTCGCTAGCGTCTTGCTTCAGCTACCAACCTATTACACGATCAGCTACAACTTCGTCCGTATCAACCTCTGGTGGCTAAGGCGTTATATTCGGGCAATCATTCAGCCAGATAACCTTGAAAGCGGCCCCTCTTCTGATCCCATGGCAGAAGAACCTTGCACATATGAAACGGGCGACACCGGCCCCGTAAGCATCTTTGACAATTATAAGTGGCGTGGACCGCACCTGGCTCCTCTTTCATTATTTGAATACTGCATGCTTGTAAAGACTAAGAATATACGCGACGCTGTTGCGAATGACGTGGACTTCGAACCAACCCATCCTAGATATGGCACGCATGTACAGCACTTGGCGCGCACAACGTCCCAGGTGGCCGCCGTGACTTTCAATGGACAGCTAACGGAGTTCCAGGCCGCAGAAGACGCGATTCCGGGAGGCCATCCGAAAACGACTGCGATTATAAATGACATGGCTGAGATATTACTGGGCCTTTTTGTTCCCTGGGATCACTTGGTTGATCTCTTCCGCCGGCATGCGACAAAGCGGGACGCCCATGTTCAAGTATGGGCGGCCGTTGAACCAACCCTCCCATTTCACAATCGGGGATTTGCAAGAAACATCGAGTTGCTGCGGAAGTCTAAGGAAGACTGCCAAGCCGATGCAAGTTTGTGGAAGTCGGCGAATGGCGCAGCTGATTCATTTCACCATGACGTTGACGGATTTGAGCCGCCAAATTTTGCTTCTGATGGCGACGAGGACGATGAATGCTTTCAACTGCAGGATGAGACTTTTAACACCGAGACGTTGGTCGCCGCCTATCACTCCATCAGGAAAGCATGGCATCGAGAGACGCTGGTCACTGGACGCCGGATTCCTCCCTTGCTCCGCGCCATAACCCCAGTGCGAAGCTTGCTACTACAGAACCTCCGGCCGCTGGATATCTTTCATACTCCTGCATACGAAACATCTGGCCTAAAGTACCTCCCACCATCCACTTTACAAGCGTGGGAGGTTCACCTGAAAAGTTTCGCCAATCTTGATCATGGGCAAAGCACAGATCGTAATGCCACCAGCTCTAACTTCGCACTCGACGATTTCGACATCCAGATTGAAGATGGCATCTTGGAACCTACACTGGTTGGCTCATACACGGTCCCTGCTATGGATGACCTCCAGTCCCGGGTTGACCAGAGTCCCACTGGCGCCTCTCTGGCGTCCCTGGTCGTTGAAGTGATTCCCCTAAATCAGAAACAGCTAATGGTCGTGGAGAGGGTGCTATCTGAAGCTTTGGCCTGGGCGGACCATCCTTATGACTCAGCGCAACGCAAACAGACCCTCCTGTATGTCGGAGGTGAAGGGGGCACGGGTAAGAGCCAGATCATCAAGGCAATTGATGCCGGTATGAACCTTATCGGACGAAAACACGAGGTAATCCTCATGGCCCCAACGGGTGCAGCGGCCGATAACATTGGCGGGAATACGTACCACACATCTTTAGGGATCTCTATCGACCGCTCACGGGGAACTGCGATGACATCTCGAGTTAGACGACTCTGGTCTCGCAAGACCATCATGTTCGTGGACGAAGTAAGCATGATGGATCTGACCATGATCAAAGTCATTGATAATCACTGCAAGATCGCCAAATCCCTCGATAGATCCTCCACTGATCTTTTCGGTGGGCTTCCTGTCGTCATCTTCATCGGTGACTTTTTCCAGTTTCCACCTGTTCGGGGACCGGCCCTATGGAAGGAGCCTAGAAGGGGTAGAGATGAGGATGAGAACGGTCGGCTCCTCTGGCATCAGTTCAAACAGGTAATCATCTTGGATGAGCAAATGAGACAATCAGAAGATGCTCCGTTTCGTGATCTCCTTTCACGAGCGAGGGCTGGAACTTTGACAGAAGCCGATCGAGCCTTTCTTAACAGCAAAACTATCACGACCCTGGTCAGCCCGCTGTTGGAAGACGCCACCACTGTCGTGAAGTTAAACTCTCTGCGTCACCAGGTAAACCGCGTTCGAATTGAGCAATTCGCGCGGACCCGGTGTCAGAATGTATATGTCTTTCCTGCGCATCATACGCGGACCAGGTCTACTGGTCCTATCAACCTGCGGCTTCGTGCAGACGACTTGCTCCAGCAACCGGACCAAGGAACCAAAATCCCTTTTCCCGGACTCTTTCTCTACACCCCAAATATGCCTGCCGTTGTACTGACCAACATCTGCACCCTGCTCGGCCTGGTTAATGGCGCAGCGGGGACTGCTGTAGGAGTCGTGTTAGATCCGGCCGGTATGTTGATCTTTCGTAAACAGTGATGAAACCATCCTCTTGACACCTCCCCACTAGCTGAATTCTTTGAAATCGACGACCTCTATATCATGTGCACCAAGCCACCTGCCTGCATTTTATTCAAACCAGACAGACCAAGACCCACTGCATTTCAAGACCTTGAACCTTCCATCGTGCCAGTCTTTCCATTAGAGCGATCTATCACTATGAAGGGCTATTCGGTCCGAAGAAAGCAGGTTCCCATGTGCCCAGCGTTCTGCCTCACCGACTACAAAGTTCAAGGCTCGACTCTTGCAGCTGCGATCCTAGACCTTAAAGATGACCCCACCATCCGGGGGCAAGATCGCCATCGGAAGTATTGCTCGCTATATGTGCAGCTATCCCGGCTTCGATCCTCCAAAGGACTTCATCTTCTGCAGAAACTCGAAATAGAAGACCTTCGATTCGGACCCGATCCTCGGCTGTTGACTGAAATGCAAAGACTTCAAGAGCTCGAGAAGGAAACGATTGCTGCATGGCAGGGAAATTGAAACATACAAGCAACTCTTCACTAAAGGGTCCTTTTGCAGATATATTCTATTCTGCATCGATACTCATCCAATCACACGTTACGCCACAGGACAACGTGAGGTGGCTTGCATACAATTAGCGTATCCTAGCGAACGTTCGTGTAACTTTCCGGCACCTTACCAAATCCAAACTTTCAATGTTCATGACATCTGTAAATTCTTCCTCATTTCCCCCGGTTTCGTTTCAGGGCCACAGCGTGCGGTAGCGCGCGTCACCAGTCAATGGCTCAATCTTCGATTGGATAACACGCTTAGTGATTTGATTGGCTAGCATCGTGGCAGGTGCCCACCCATGCGGGTTATCGCATCATCCATCAAACCTAGTCAGCATTCCAGCCTTGGAGAGATTTAGTGGCAAACTCCTATACGTTTTATTACGAGATTAGTTTTCCAAAGGGGCTGATTACAGTATGACCCGGTTGTCTCCGTCTTCACACACTCGGTTGGAGTTGATGCCATGGTCTTCCTCTTGTCACTACCTACAAGGGATATGAATCTATAACGGGAAGGAATATTGTTGTCCTTGGGACGAGGATGAACACCCTCCCGGTTGCTGCGGCCTTTAGTGGGCTCGCTGTTTTCTTTGTCGTATTGCGGCTTTGCACTCGGTACATGTTAATCCGCAGTGTTGGCAATGACGACTATATGGTTTGCTTATCTCTGGTTTGTCTTCCCTCAGCCACTAAGCTTGCAGAACGCTAATTAAAGTAAACCTTACGTAGTTTTTCGCTATCGCTGCGTTATTTGTGCTCGTATTTGGTAAGCGCGAGTTGGATTTCCTTCCCACACAAGTACAACCAAGTACAACAACTGATAACCGTAAATCAGAGGTACATTACGGTCTTGGAAAGCCGCAAGAGATCCTTCATCCAAATGAGACAGAAAAACAATTCTTGGTACGTTTGGACACAACATGCTACGTTGTCAGACCAATAATTGGCGTGGTCTGCGCAAATGAGAGATAGACATGCTAAGTTGCGATATAGTTTTTGTGGTTGAGTATCCCATTATACAGCTTTTCATTGACATTCACCAAAGCCTCAATTCTTCTTCTGTACATTCGGATCTTTGCGCTGCCTCGATTTATTCTTATGTCGCGTATCGCGCTAGGCGTCATAAGCACATATGGACTTTGGTGTGTTCTCAGCTCCATCCTGAGCTGTATCCCGGTAAATGCATTCTGGGACACCTCAATTCAAGGTCGCTGCATAAAAAGGGAATTTTTATGGTTTTTTAATGCAGGTATAAATATCGTTACCGACCTAGGCATCCTGGTAATGCCTATTCCCGTTTTGTCTCACCTGCAACTTTCTTGGAAGCGAAAGTTTGGCCTCATGTTAATCTTCGCTGCAGGCAGTTTGTATGTTTATTATGTATCTTCAACCTATCGTGTACTAACCAGGAAGATAGCGCCTGCATTACAAGCATAATCCGCCTCAAGGCAGTGGCCATAGCAACCAATTCCACCGATTTGACAAGTCAGTCATCTCGATACGACCCACTATAGAGACTAATCGCCTTTTTTAGGATCCCTAGCTCCGATTGCAACTTGGTCTTACGTGGAGATGAATATGGGAATCATCTGCTCTTGTCTCCCGCCGTTGCATCCGTTATTCAGACGTACACTTCCATGGCTTCTTTCTCCGAGTCGCCGATGCTGCGGCAGTAACGATCCGATGAATCCTGAATGAGCTGCGCTGTAACGGGTACTGCTGGACAGGGAACGTAAATCAGAATTACAAGGGCAGGTTTTTGCGGGATATCGAAACTTGCCAGAGTTGACCCTACCTCGTCATGGGCTTGGCAAGTTCAACTCTGTTGGAATTCAGAGGGAGGAACAGCTCGTCGCTTCCTGCGTGACAAACGAACGGGCCATTTCCCCAAATGATCGCTGAATGCTGAAGTGAATGCACCTCTGATTTCTAAGAAAATTTAAAGTGAACATATGATCTAGGCATTGTGTGTTTATATAAATTGCAAAAGAAAGTTGTACTGATGCGAGGCGAATGGCTGAACTCAATAACCAGTGTCAAAAGTTTCATTAGGCTTTAACTGTCGGGACATACACTCCCGTCAGAATAAGCAAAGACAGGTTGTACGTAATCTTGCTAAGCAACGGCTCCCGCCGTAGGGATTCAGGGGTATTGGGCCTTGACCTAGGAGGAACATCTACTTTACACGAATCAAATTGACTTTTGCTTTGGAAGCATAACCACTGTACACAGTACCTAGCTAGTGATACCAACATTAACAAAAACACACGATAGGAAATTGGCAACTTTGGTTAAGAAGAAATCAGTAAGTTTTGCCGATAGAAAATGCTGCGGGCTGGTGATTAATTATGTTCATTAACCAAATTGCATGGAAGAGTGGGGTGGAGATTCGACGGGTAGACATATCTGGTCAATTGGTTTCCAAACCAACAAGCACCGATTTGGCCTGACAATTCGATTTATGGTCATCTGTAGGATCCTTGGAGCATTAGGTGTCCGAATGGAATAAATGCAGGAAACTGTTTACTTCAAACCCCGGTTGAGCAGATTGTTCACATTGTCGAATTTACACACCCTTCCTTGCCATTAATTAATTGCCTGTTTATTGTTATAGTGCCCTCAACCAGTTTCTGTCAACTACATAAACTTAGACATCCAAATTGCCATCGAATATCGCTGTTAGATAACCTAAGTGGCCATTTGATCCGATCTGATCCACTGTGGAAAGGTAAGCCCCCAACGGCATCATCAACTTTCAGCAACTTGCTATACTAACCCAGTAGCCGTGTCACGGGACGACCCCCTACCCGAAGGGTGGGGGGTGTCCCACAGCCATAATGCAATTAACCTCCATAATGCAAATTTCCTACCTTTTCAACTTTTACGCGTATTCCTACCCACCTAAAATGCCTAAAAAAACTCGTGATGAAGAGGATCTGCTAGCTAAGGCATTACATGCTTATACTACGCGAGAATTTTCATCACTACGTAAGGCTGCGGACCATTATCGCGTGTCTTATTCGAAGCTTCGCGGTCGCAAAAACGGACAGACATCTCTCTCCGATCGCCCTACCACCAATAATGCATTGAATTTGAATCAGGAAAATGCATTAATTAGCTGGATCGAAGTGCTAAATTCTTGCTATACACCTCCAACTGCAAAAGACATTGAAATTGCCGCAAATCGCCTGTTGAAAATAGCGGGTTCGGAGAGAGTTGTTAGTTCAATGTATAGCTATCGGCTTATACGGCGTCTACCTCCACACATCAAGCTTATTACCCAAAAATCAAAGGAGTCTTTACGAATTCAAGCCGAGGATCCTGGAGTTATTAGCCATTGGTACGATAGGCTTGAGTATCTCTACCGTGAGCATGGTTTTGAACCTCATGAGATCTATAATTGGGATGAAACCGGCTTCCAAAATGGCGAAGGACTTAACCAACACGTCGTCTCTACGCGTCAAACTGCTAGTATTGCTACTGGAGATCGAGGTGAAACTATTACTGGCATTGAATGTATTGCCGCTGATGGCTGGGTGATGTTTCCGTGGTTTCTAGTCAAAGGCAGCGTCCACATGGAAGACTGGTATAGTAATATGTCAACCTCTTCTTCGGCGTACAAAATTATCCATTTGACGTCTAGTGGCTGGACGGATAGTGAGACTGCTTACCGATGGCTATGCTCATTTCATGAAGCCACAAAAAACCGCGTACGACGCGGGCGACCGAGGCTTTTGCTAATGGATAATCATGCGTCTCATACAACTATCGAATTTCTCGATTTTTGTAAGGAAAACCTGATTATTCCTTGGTATTTTGTACCTCACACGACTCATATATGTCAGCCCCTTGATGCTGAGGCTTTTTTAAGCCTAAAACATAAGTTTAAAATGGCGAATACTGAGGTTGTGGCGTGGGGTGGAAGTAACGAAAAACGCGACTTTTTCCGCAACATTGACGCCGTCCGACGCCACGCCTTAAGGTCCAAAACTATCCAAACCTCGTTCAAATCTACTGGTATCTGGCCAATAGATCCGACACAAGTTTTGGGTAATTTAGGGCAATATTCGGACGAAGAGACCTTACGCATATACGACGAGCCGTCACCTACCCGCGAATTCCCAAGTTCAGCGACCAATTCTCCGCCCAATTCTTATGCGCGTATTGAAAAATTGGAGAAGACAGTTTTCCCGCTACTTGATAACCTGAATCCTGATTTACGTAAAATTCGGAAGCATATACGGCGCGCAATTGATGCCGGAAAATCGTCTCTATACAATGCGGAACTTGCTGAGATGAGCCTTGCGCGCGCCCTTAGCCATAAAACGCCTGGGAAAAAACCTACAAAAAGCAAGCGATGGGTAAAGGGTGCTACAAAGAGTCCCCTTTCATCGATTTCAGGCAATAGGCTAGTACAGCGAAGGTGTGAGAAAGAAGATGAGTCGAAGCTTCGTGCTTGGCGGAAAGACGCAGAGAAAATGGCGGCCGATTTGGCGGCTAAGGAATTGGAGGAAACACTTGAAAATGAGGAGGATGATACATTATTGGCTACTGAGGCTATTGATGGGCTTTATTTCATGGATCCTAGACCTTATACGTCTAAAAAATGAGCTAGAAGTTGAAGAAATTGAAAATTTGCATTATGGCTGTTAATTGCATTATGGCTGTGGGACACCCCCTACCCGCGAGGGTGGGGGGCGGTCCTGTGACACGGCTATACCCCTGAACGGTCCTCTGCAGCAACCCTGTTCCCAGTAGTTGTCTCGAAGCTACTGAAAAAGCTCTCCGCGCATGCCAGAGTAGCAATCACTGTAGGTCTTCCATGCGGTTGAAGACGTCTTCTTGTAGAACGCGAGCAGTACCACAGTATGAACTCTTTGATCATGGTAATATCGGGAGCAGAAGTTTCCTTCTCCAGCTTATAGCCAACTGAAACACACCCGCTGTCGACAAGAAACCTGAGGAGTTAGTAAATAAGGGAATTGAGAAAGCATATAGAGTCTACTCACTCCACCCAAATACACTAATGAGGGAAGAGCGCAAAATGCAGGCGGTTTAGGTGCGAATGTTCAAAAAAGACGATCAACGCGTTTAAGACTGAAAGAGATTAGCAGGCTTGCGACATGGGTAAAAAACACCACGTCTGTGTCACAGGGACGAGGTCCGTTCTGAATAAGACAATAAGTCTCAAATGCACAACTACGGTCAAATTCAAATTACCCTGCCCAATAAGAAGCTGCAGATCAGCCTATAAGCATCCTGTTCTAGGGGTAAGTCGCCGCCCCATTTTCTCGACCTGAAGTAAATAAAGTATGGGCTCTTCCACAGAAAGTAGGGTGTGCCATGCAATCGGAAAGCAGATTCCGTGCAATGTTAAATTAACTTTCTTTGTGGGATTGTGGGTAATTTAGGGTTGCCTGAACGACTAAACCCGTCAACCTATAGTATGATCTCCTTGGGCTAACGAGAAATTCCATGAGCTAAACATTTCCGGCGCAAATACTAGGTATTAACATCCCTCATTATGTCCGTAACTGCAGTTAAAGGTGATATTTACGACAGTTTCATGGATCTAGGAGACCAAATGAAGCTGTCTATTGCAAGTCAAAGGAGAATACCCGAGGACAAAATCTACCGGCCTCATTGCTTAGCCAACTGAGATGCTGATCGAGTATAATTACATTCCGCATAAAAAGCCTGTCTGGGATAGGATGCCTGCGCTCTTGTGAAGATCCTTCGACGAGTAGTAGCAATACCAATACTCGGTCAGTTTAGATAGCACGAACGCGAGCAAGGTGATTTAGTGCTCATAATCAATGGTACTCACCTACGATCAAGTAAAAATCATATTTCAGCTGGTAGATGCAGGGAAGTATATCGTGTTTAGCCAAGTGTATCTTCTCTCTATCATCTAGATCGTAAGAATGACTTCAGATATCGCCCCGTATGAAAAGAAATAAGGTCAAGTGTACTTTAACAACAATCTGAGATAGCAATTCAAAATACTTTCGCACCCCGCACAATCCAACCTCTGAAAAGGTGACAGATTTCCCTATACCAAGTAGAGTCATTGATAATCTTAAGAGCGACGCGTCTACGAGGGCATCTTGAACTGATTGACATTAGTGGAAATCCGCGTTCTCGGTTTATCCATTTGTATTCTTCTTTTTATCATCTGTATCGTTGAAATCACTCTAGGTATGGCCCGCATGAACAATAACTGAACTTTATAGGATTGAGTAATGGTGCATTTTGATATCTTTTTATTTTTATTTTTATTTTCCCCCTCAAACCTGCTATTGCAAGAATGCGATGAACAGATACGGTCATATGATTGTTTATTTTTGACATTTATCACCAACTAGATTCAATAGTCACTCAATAGCTCGTCCATTCCTGTGCTATGTCTTCGTAACTATATGAATTGTTCCTTCTTT